ACAACATGGATGGATATAGAGGGTATTATGCTTAGTAAAATGACTCAGACAGAGAAATACAAATACTGCATATTTTCACTTATATGTGGAATATAAAAAATAAAACAAATGAATGGATATAACAAAACAGAAACAGACTCACAGATACAGAGAACAAGCTAGTGGTTACCAGTGGGGAGAGGGATGGGGGGGCATGTGAACAATAATGACTTTAATAATAACTTTAGAATAGACCTAATTTTAATGCTTGTCATGCTTGCAGAAAATTACCCAGGAAATTATTTCTGCAAACAATATTTATTTTTTCTTCTTTAAAATTGAAAGCAAAAGTTTCACACAGAATCACCTGAGCTAGGCTTAGAGTAGTCTCATGTTGCTTTTATAGTGCCCCTGAAAATGAGAAAAAATACTGATTTTCCAAAGTGACTCAATAAAAACAAAAATTGATGAAAATACTTATGAAATAAACTGTTCCAAATAAATTATATGTTTGGTTAAGTCATATTTAAGCAGAAAACTTACTACCATTCTCATTGAAAAGCTTACAAAAATGGTTATCCCATGCCCCTCATTCATTAGCAAGGATATCAAGAATGCAACTGATACCATGTTTGGCAAGAGCCACAAATTTGAACACTTCAGGAGCCAGGTGCAAAAGGTAAATAAATGAGGCAAGTTAAAGCATATCCAAGAGCCCAGCATTTAGCCTTTAGTAATGGCCTCCAAATGTCTTTTATTAAGCAGTCTTTTATTGAAAGCTGTCTTTTATTAAGCAGCCCTGTGGTATTTGTCCCTTTACACTTAGGGAGCACCACCCAGCCTCCCAGTGAAGTGTAGATATTGTTATTACCTCCATTTTATAAATGAGAAAATGGAAGCACTAAAAGGATCAGGAACTTGTCTGTGGTCACACAGCCCTGCATAGTAGTGCCTAGGTAAATGACAAGCAGTGTGACATCAGGACATGAGCTTCTACTTACCATTAATATGGGCTTAATAATTAGAAAATGGTAAATGAAAGTCTTTACACATGTTAACCCATTTAATTCCCACCATAACCCTGAGAGGTAGATACTAGTATTTATACGTTTTACATATACAGAAACTGTATCATAGAAGGTTAAGACAGATGCCCAGTGTTACATGGCTAGTAATTGCAGAGCCAAGAGTTGAAGGCCCAGGTGGTCTGCTTCCAAGGCCCTGCTCTTGGTATGGCTCTCAACCAGAACGATTTTGCCCTCCAGAGAACATTTCAATGTCCAGAGACATTTTGGTTGTTAAAACTGGGGGAGGAGGGAGATACTGGCCTCTTATAGGTAGAGGCCAGGGATGTAGCCAAGTACCCTACAATGCACAGGACAGCCTCACACCCACAACACAAACTGTCCATAGTGCCACTAATGGGAAACATGGGTCTATGCGATTATGACTATGCAGCCATATAGATAGACAAATAGGCCATTGGGAGAGATGGGGACTGACAACACATAAAATCTTCATCTCTAAATAAATCTGTGCTATCACATTGTTTTCATGCTGTCTCTGTCCTCTAAAAAGTGAACTATAAAAAGTAATCCAGATAACTGAATACTTTCATTTAACCAAGACATTGGTTTTTTGTTTTGTATCTTATTATGATATTCAATGTTTCAAATTCTATATTATCTTATAAGAACTTTTTATAATGAAACTCACTTTTATGGAGAATCTTAAAACACTTATTTTCTTGTCACTACACAGGCATATTATTAAAATTCATACATCTCTACATAGTTATCTCTTTAACTGAAACTGTCTCCATTGAATCTTTCTTACCTCATCTTCCCTTCTAACATTTATAAGTTATTTCCCACAAATCACAGTGAAGGTGTTGGTGAAGAAGAAAAATGTGAATGGAATCCTTTTGCCCTTAATTACTTAGCAGCTGCCTTGGCACATTGCTTTCCCTTCTCCCTTCTGCCCCAGAAATGCTTGTTATCTCCATTAATTATTTTCAGAGTTCAGAGAAACAATATGTAATGGGTTAGACAGAGGGGGAGTTAAAGCTGAGGAGCAGTGACGTCACCAGCACAGGACAGCTGGCCGAGAGGGAGTGTTCCTGCTAGTGAAATACAAGACATAAAAGATAAAATACTTAAAAGATACTATGCTTCATGGAGGAAAGGGGAAGGGGTTTCAACAGTGGCCATTAATCCAAAATTCTCCCATCAACAATGGTTTGTTTAAACATCTATTAAACATTTGTAGTTTTAACAATCTGCCTCGAGGTACTTGGAATTTTCTTTAAAACATTTCTTTCTAGGCTTAAAAAATGTGTCCTTTTAAGCTTAAAAATCCAACTGACCTTCTTAATGATCTTCGGAGCAAACAAGAACTTTCTAGATTTAAATTTTGTGTACTTTTGGTCAATGTGACTTCCTGTTTTTGAAAAGGGGAAAGAGATTAAGCAGCCTCCAAAAGCTGCTTACATTTTGGACTGTTCTTTAATATTGATTTTATGTGAGTTAAGTATAAGCTGGTTAAAAACATATGGATTAAATTTTCCTGAAAATATGAATGGTTTTAAAAATTAAGAAGGGGGAATGCTTGGCAAACTGTGATTATTTTTTGTCAAAGCAAAAATATTTGAAAAGTAGTTGTTGCCCTTAAAAAAATATTCCCAATACAGCTAGACTTACCTTCTTTTACTTGTTCTCTTTTTTGTTGTTGTTCTCTTTAATTTACCAGCATTATGCAAACTGTCATAAGTCTATTTTAAGAGTATGCATATTATTAGGAACAAGGAATAAAAATTTATCTGATAGAACTTATATTTTGGGGATTGTTCTTCTATTACTCTAAAATTATATTCTTAAGAATTGCTGTGGGTAGAATTTTTCTTATGCAAATCCATGTGGTAATATTTTTTATACCCCTTTGTAAATTGGAATCATATCACATTTAATTGTAGTTCAAGAAAATTTTGTTTCTACAAAGCAATTATAGATTATATAGAAATAAAGGATATTTGTTATGATTATTATCTTAGTCCATTCGGGCTCCTATACCAAAACATCATAAATTAGGTGGCTTATAAACAGCAGAAATTTATTCCTCACAGTTTTTGAGGTTGGTAAGTCCAAGATCAAGGCACTAGAGGATTCGGGGTCTGGTGAGAGCCTACTTTTTGGTTCAAAGACAACACCTCCTAGTTATAACCTCATATGGCAGAAGGTGCAAGGGAACTTTCTCCACTGGCTCTCTTTTATAAGGGCACTAATCCAATTCAAGAGGGCTCTACCTTCAAGACCTAATCACATCCCAAAGGCCCATCTCCTAATATTACATCACCTTGGAGGTTAGGATTTCAATGTATGAATCTGGAAAGCGGGACATAGATATTCAAATCACACCAGTTACTCATGTTAGTGATGGTAGTTTTAAGCACAAGGCTGTGTCTTATATCTTATTAAACTTATATATATAAGTTTAATAAGTGGGTCAAAGAACTTAGGCTATAAGTGAAACTAGTAAAATTAGCTCTTTCTAAGTTCATATAGTTGCCAAAATCCAGAAATATTAACCAAGATGGTTTAAACAAAATTTTCCCTTAAGAAAAGCACAGTTAGCATCGCAGGGTGAAAGGGGAAACAAAAACTACAGAGTAATCTGAACTTGAATCAGATGATACTAATTAGGCTCAGTCACATGATCCTTGGCTTACACTACTAGGCACCAAAAACAGGTGGGCCCAACTGCAGGTGAAGTTTGACATCATTTCTCTAAAGGTATCTAGAGTTGTTATTTGAGATTGCTTTAATATCTAAAAGAGCATTTATAGAAAGAAAAATATCAAGTACTATGTCTTACTACATAACTTTATATAGCAAATTCCATAGTTGTCAGATTTCTCATATTTACTAAGTTTTATTCCCTTTCTACTCATCCCCTGCTTTCTTTCCCACTACTGCAAAGAGTGTCACAGTTAGAGCTACATAAGTTTTATATATCAATGTAAGACAGATTTGTAATACAAATATATGTATACATAAATGACAAAAAAGTATAATGATAATAAGTTGAAAGATCTGTAACCTACACCTTGTATAAGCTCTTGGAAATAAAAATTATAATAACCGCTATTAGCTTTGAGTATATGCAAGAAACTGCTCTAAATAATTCACATACTATTGTTATCTTTCTACTTTTGCCAGCAATCATGGAAGGCAGATACCATTCACATGTTATAGAGGATAGATCTGAAATACAATTTTTATCATAAACTGATAATCCGAGATTTGAATACAAGGTTTTCTTCTTTTAAACAAACTTTGTTCTATACCATGTTATATATCAAATTTTTATATGTATGTAAATATGTATATATATACATGCATATATTTGCATTTTAAAACTTGTTACTGAATTTCACCTCAGAATGTGATTGTCACTAATAGGTCTCTGTTTCTGAATATTAAATAATCTGTCAATTATATTACTTGGAGTCCAATGTTAATCTAAAGAAGTGCTAAACACTCTTTGTACTATGTTGAATGCAACCCTCTTCGTTTTTCTGAATTTCTAAGGTTTTTATGGAGCCTTTGTCTTTAAAATATCCTTAATAATGTTGATGTTGACCTTATTTATTTTATTTTATTTTTTGTGGTATGTGGGCCTCTCACCGTTGTGGCCTCTCCCATTGCGGAGCACAGGCTCCGAACGCGCTGGCTCAACGGCCGTGGCTCACAGGCCCAGCCGCTCCACAGCATGTGGGATCTTCCCGGACTGGGGCATGAACCCGTGTCCCCTGCATCAGCAGGCGGACTCTCAACCACTGCGCCACCAGGGAAGCCCTGACCTTATTTTTTAAAAGAATTTAAATGCCTCTAGTAAAATGATAATCCTTCCCAACACAATACATTTTTGTTAATCATACAGTTTTCCTCATAACAGATGTTTGGAAGTGTGTGGAATTGAGCTACTAAATTTCACTCCCTTCTTTATTTCATTTTCTGTTACAGGAACATCCCTCGTTAGGCCAACTTTCAGAAAAGTTAATAGACAACAACATTAATGTCATATTTGCAGTTCAAGGAAAACAGTTTCACTGGTATAAGGTATGTTAACTCCCAAAATATAAAAATTAAAATGTTTGCATCTATAGTTAAAATTAGAATACTTTTTAGAACCCCAGGTAAGGATTCTGGAGTTATTATACTTTGTACAATCTAAATTTAATACTGTATTAACTAACATAGCCCAGGTGTCCATTCCTCTGGTGAGATGGGGCAGGAGATGCTCTCCTCAACTCCTTGCCTGGGTGGGCAACTCAGGCTCCAGGGCCAGCAGAAATCCTCATATGAGGGTCCCACTGAGTTCCCCGGTCAGAGTACTGTAGCTGAGTGGAGTGGCTGCTTGGGACTACTGCTCAGGTGCTGCAGAAAGCCTTCTTGGAATCTGACATGTTATCACTCTGGGACCATTGGCCAGCTACTCCTGACTTGGTCACATGAAGGCTGACTGTTACAGACTCTGAACTGAGGAGAACCAACACTATTAGGGTATCTCGCACCACCATGAATGCAAGGTATTTCAATTAAGAGTATCAGGAGAACATCTATAAATCCCAGACTGGCATGTGCAAGTTCTGCTGGTGGAATAACCCAATGTATCTGGGTGACCTTTGGAGACAGCTGAGACAGAGCTACAACAGGGCAGTGGCTGACACCCAACTCATAGCCCATCTTCTCCAGCCGTGTGGCTGCCAGGGTCTTGGGGCTCCGGCCGGCTGTAAGGCCTGAGCCTCTGAGATGGGAGAGCTGAATTCAGGACATTGGTCTACCAGAGACCTCCCAGCCCCACGAAATATCAATCGGCGAGAGCTCTCCCAGAGATCCCCATCTCAAAGCTAAAACCCAGCTCCACTCAATGACAAGCAAGGTCCACTGCTGGACACCCCATGCCAAATAATTAGCAAGGCAGGAACACAAACCTACCCCTCAACAGAGAGGCTGCCTAACATCATAACAAGTTCACACAAACCCCAAAACACACAACCAGACGCGGTCCTGCCAGAAAGACAAGATCCAGCCTCATCCACCAGAACACAGGTGCTAGTCCCATCCACCAGGAAGCCTACACAACCCACTGAACCAACCTTACCCACTGGGGGCAGACACCAAAAACAACAGAAACTATGAACCTGTAGCCTGCGAAAAGGAGACCCAAAACACAGTAAGTTAAGCAAAATAAGACACAGAAACACACAGCATATGAAGGAGCAACGTAAAAACCCACCAGACCAAACAAATGAAGAGGAAATAGGCAGTCTACCTGAAAAAGAATTCAGAGTAATGATAGTAAAGATGATCCAAGATCTTGGAAATACAATGAAGAAAATACAAGAAATGTTTAACAAGGACCTAGAAGAACTAAAGAGCAAACAAACAAGGATGAACAACACAATAAATGAAATTAAAAATTCTCTAGAAGGAATCAATAGCAGAAAAACTGAGGCAGCAGAAGAGATAAGTGACCTGGAAGATAAAATAGTGGAAATAACTACCACAGAGCAGAGTAAAGAAAAAAGAATGAAAAGAATTCAGGACAGACTCAGAGACCTCTGGGACAAGATTAAATGCATCAACATTCAAATTATAGGGGCCCCATAAGAAGAAGAGAAAAAGAAAGGGAAGGAGAAAATATCTGAAGAAATTATAGTTGAAAACTTCCCTAATATGGGAAAGGGAACTGTCAGTCAAGCCCAGGAAGCATAGAGAGTCCCATACAGGATAAATCCAAGGAAAAACACTCCAAGACACATATTAATCAAGCTATCAAAAATTAAATACAAGGAAAAAATATTAAAAGCAGCAAGGGAAAAACAACAAATAACATACAAGGGAATCCCCATAAGGTTAACAGCTGATCTTTCAGCAGAAACTCTGCAAGCCAAAAGGGACTGGCAGGACATATTTAAAGTGATGAAAGAGAAAAAACTATAACCAAGATTACTCTAACCAGCTAGGATCTCATTCAGATTCAACAGAGAAATTAAAACCTTTACAGAAAAGCAAAAGCTAAGAGAAACCACCAAACCAGCTTTACAACAAATGCTAAAGGAACTTCTCTAGGCAGGAAACACAAGAGAAGGAAAAGACATACAATAACAAACCCAAAACAACTAAAAAAATGGTAATAGAAACATACATATCGATAATTACCTTAAATGTAAATGGGTTAAATGCTCCAACCAAAAGACACAGACTGGTTCAATGGATACAAAAACAAGACCCATATATATGCTGTCTACAAGAGACCTACTTCAGACCTAGGGACACATACAGACTGAAAGTGAGGGGATGGAAAAAGATATTCCATGCAAATGGAAATCAAAAGAAAGATGGAGTAGCAATTCTCATATCAGACAAAACAGACTTTAAAATAAAGACTACTACAAGAGACAAAGAAGGACAGTACATAATGACCAAGAGATCAATCCAAGAAGAAGATATAACAATTATAAATATTTATGCACCCAACATAGGAGCACCTCAAAACATAAGGCAAATGCTAACAGCCATAA